TTTAATATCGAAATTAAAAAGGAAATAATTGTTTATTCTTTTTCTAACAAATATCTAAAAAAAAAAAAAATAAAACAACATATTTCTAATATATCCAATTATACAATCGACAAAACGTATAAATACAATTTTTATTTAACAATACAAAAGGCAATGGTATTTTTTAAAACCCAACAATACCAATCGCATTTTGCAATTACTTCTAAAGAAAATTAATTTACAAAAATTGAACACCATATTCATAACGAATGAAAAAACAAGGGACTAGTAACTTGTTAACAAAAACAATAATAATAATAATAATAATAATAAAAGAAAAGAATGTGAGAAAGAAAGAGAGAGAGAGAGAGAAGAAAGAAAGAAAGAGAAAAAAAAAAGAAAAATAGTGAGGAAAAGGTATGAAAACGTTTCACGTTTACGTGAAAAGGGGGTTCTCGTTTTAACGACGCGTGTAAAATGCAAAACAGGCAATTAGGACGAATTAGTCACAATTAAAGGCTATTCTAAGGGGGAACGAACCAAGCGAGAATAACTACACCTGTCGACATCTCAACCAACCCCAACCCCAAGCCCTAAGTTCCCCCCCCCCATACTCCCCCAACCCACTTCATTCACTTTCTCATTCTCTCCCCATCCTTTTTCCTATTATACGTCACACGTTTAAAAGTACACTTAATGTATGTTAAATATCATCGGTGATCGAATTAAACGATACGAATACGTACACACTTTAGTCAAGTAAAAAAAAAAAAAAAAAACAAAAGAAAAAGGGTAAAAATAAAATAGGTAAACTTTGACGAAAGAAAAAGCATGAAGAAGACAAAATAATGAAGCAGGGTAATATCGAAAATTTAAATAAATGTGAAAAGTAAGAGAGAAGGGGGGAAAGAAAAAAGGGTGGGGGTTGGATAAAAAAAAAATATAAGTTCAGATAACCGTAATGGGTTCGTCATATCGAAAATCATTTTCTACCCTTTAGCTGTGTTAACTGTCAATTATCACTGAAGTATTAATTACTAATTGGCTTTGAACACACGGATGTATATATATATATATATATATGTATGTATGTATACGTGTTCAATAATATCGTGTTACATTTTGTTAACGTGCTACGTCAGATCAATTAGAATCTTTATCCTTTGTAAAATTGATATTTCAAATGTCGATATGTCTTTATTCTTCTTTTCGTATATTTTTTCTATTAACGGAAGAAGAGGAGAAAGATAAAAAAAAAAAGAAATAATAAAAAAGAACCATTTCCAATAATTATCTTTCTGAACGTCATACCGAAAACTTGAATTCGATTTGTATGTACATATCCTCCTCGAACGTTTCAAATCTA